CCTAGACCTCGGAGCGAATGCTGGCACGCAGAAAATGCTCTAGAACATTTGTTGAATGAATATTCATAATTAAAACTACTATGACGAGGACAACAATGTGGTTAAGAGTAAACCAACACTGGGTCCATTAAACTCTCACAGGACTTTGGGAAGAGCCCAACTTAGCTTTGGAAGCCTCAGTTTCCCTAGCTATAAAGAGGGGATGAAGGACCCCAGGCCTTTGACTTGTGAGCTTTAGGCAAGAGCACACACTGAGATGTACGTCACAGTCCTGATGACATCCCACCCCAGCAAAGTGAGGGGCAGGCAAAACAAGACCAGCAAAGATGGGTGCTGAAGCTGGGGTTCACCTTCCTCATTCTGCATCTGTTTGAGATTGTCCAAATAAGGGCAGGGAAGAGTGAGCACAGACTCGAAGCTGGCTGGTGTCAAGCACACAGTGCTCCGTTTCCCTCCACTCGGGCTTCCATTTCCCAAGGAGACTGTTGGCTTTTAAGAACAGAAGTGCTGGAGCTGGCCCTGCACCACCCACGCCACCGCAGCCTCCCTCCCTCCAAGCTGGAGGCTCATCGCTCACCCCGGCTTCCAATCTCCCTCCCTTCCCAGCACCTGATCTCCCTCAGCTCCTGGCGCTAATCTGCAGCCATCTAACACCCTGCGCCCCCAAATGGATGTGCCAGGAAATCTTACAGACACAAAGAGCCAATTCTGTATCATTTCCGACTTCCACCTCAGCTGGTTTGCATCTTTCTGGACTGAGGGCCTGGCGAGACACCTGGCAGGGATAATATATCTTGCGGAGGGCTCGGTCAGAGAAACTGCCCCTGGAACATCCGACGTTAACAGGAAAGAGGTTTCAGCTGTGAAAATAGAGGCTTCCTTCCCCAGTGTGGGATGGAGACGTGTCTTGGGGATACCCACCACCTTTGCCACACACTGACTGCCAGAAATATGAGCGGGTCACCGAGACAAGAGGGGGGCAGCTCCTTGGGCCTCCGTTTCCCTCCCTGTAACAGGTGAAGCAATGTCTACTGAGCAGCTTGGGCTCTGGGTTGGGCTGACCTGGGTTGTCATCCTAATTCACATACTATGTAGCCTTGGGCAAGGTGCTGCGCCTCTCTGAGCCCATTGGTCAAATGGACCTGATGACAGCCGCCACCCAGCGTGACTCTGCCTTCCACTGAGATCACACAAGCCAAGTGCTGAGCACAGTAAGAGGCCGGAAACAATGGCCCCCATTATTATTACTTTCGTATTTTCCCACGGAATTCAGGATCCTGTCAGATTTCTAGCATTAACGATGGAAACTTCCTGCACAGCCTAGTTTTTAAAAGCCTTGGCCTGGAGGATGGAGGCTTGGCGTCCCACCCAGGCCTTGCCACGGGGCTGCCGCGTGAGGCCACTGCTCCCTTCCTCCCCGGGCTGCAGTTTTCTTGGCTGCACCCCGAGGTGCTGGATGAGACACTCAGCTCCCCTCTGGCTTGCCAGGTCTGAGAATCTACAGTTCCAGACCCAGGCTTCTACGGGTGAAGCAGAGACACCTAGAGGCAGGCGGTGCCCACCGCGCAGTGCCAGCAGCAGACATTTAATCACACTAGCCTGGGCTTCTCCACGGAGTGCGTCCATCCCCCACCAGCAGGAAAGCTACAGGGAGAACCCCCCAGCTGAACAACACTCGCCGGTGTTCACTCACTGGCGCCTTCCGTTCTCTCAGTCTGCTATTCTGCGAGTGCCCACTGTGCATGAGCTGTGAGAGGTGCTTTCCAGAAGTCGGCCTCGATTTCATAGCCGAGGAAATCCAAACAGAACAAAACCGCCAGAATGACAACACTGGCCACTCTGTGCCGAGCTCGCTACACGCCACGCACGGCTTCCAGCATTATCACGCATTAATTGACTTAATCCCTGAACTAGAGTTGTTGACGTCATCTCTGTTTTACAGATGAGGATGCAGCCACAGAAGTTCAGCACATTGTCGGGGTAGGTGGCAGAGCTGAGATTCACACCCGGGGATCGGGCACCAAGCCTGGGACTTTGCACTGGGCTCTGCTGTGTCTCCACACGGAGAGGCTGAGTGCTGGTTTGGCTGCAGACCTGCCCAGCAAACCAGGTGTTAAACACGCACACTTATGGGGATGGAACAAGGAGAAAGCAATGAGCCGCCCCAGACGGCGACAGATAAAATCCTGGGGGCAGAGCTCCATGGAGGAAGAGCTCCCTGGATAGAGGAGGCAGCACCCTGCAGGATGAGGGGGATCTGGACACAGGAGGATAAGGAGGCCCAGGCCTCTGGGGGTGGGAAGAGCAGAAGCCAGAGCACAGAGATCAGAGTTTAGCTGAGGCCGTGGATTTGTACGAAAACACTCACCAAACGGGGTTAGGCCACATGTTAATGTGTGTCACAGAAAACGAACGCCTCTTGCTCATATGTTTGGGGAACACTGACACAGATGGGGTCCAGCTTGGGGGTGTACAATGCTGGGGCTTTCTCAGGATCTTTAAGCTGCTTGAGTAATCGGAAAGCTTTGGCCTGCAGGGAGGAGGCCGGGTCATCCTGCAGCAGCCCAGCGGTCAGCGTTCGGGAAAGCAGGTGGCTGGAGATAGGGCCCGCCGGGGAGGAAGCCAGGGCCCTTGGCAGTTTTTAATTTTTTAAAAAACTTGGAACCACTTGACAGTTTTGAGCAGGGGAGTGACATGATCTGTGTTGTGTTGACAGGCCAGAAATCTGAGCACATTTAAAAAGAGGGGGGGGGGGAACCTTCCATCAGTCCAAGACTACAAATAAGAAAATAACCTGTCGCACGGAGCCATTGGAAGCCGCGAGCGAGTGCGTGTGGGATCCGCACAACAGTTTTAGACTCCTTCCTCTCACACACCCCCTCTCCATCTGTTGCAAAGGGCACCAGGAAGATGCAAGGAGGAATATTCCAGCTCTGGGGGCTCCAGAGCTTGGCAGCCCAGCTGGGAGGGGCTGGGAGGGAGCCACATCCTCCATGAGCTGTCACTGGCGAGGCCAAGGGCTGTCACGGTTTCCTTCTTCAGCATTTTCACAGGGACGGCTATGCCTCAGTTGCAACCGTGTTCCCCAGAAGGACCCCTTCCTCACAGCTCCAGCCCAGCACGCCCTAGGCCGGAGTCCTTCCGTGCAGGCCTGCCTGCCAGCCCCCACCAGCTAACCCTGATCACGTCACTGGGTGCTTCCCTGCCGGGCTACCCAGTCAGGGGGCTGGGATTCAAGGCCCAGGGCCCCTCCCACTTACTCCTGGGGCCAGTGGCTTTTCCAGTTTGGGACTCTATTTTCCTCATCTGCAAAATGGGGGTAACGGTCAGCTCCTGCTTTGCTTTGCCGCTGGGTGAGCTGATGCAGATGAGGGGGTCAGTACAGAGCCAGATCACAGTGAACATCCACAGCGCACTGGTTCGCCCTGCATCTCTCAATACATGGTTCACATCAGGATTTCGTGGTGCTGAATCACAAGGAATGAATCACCCCAAGAGACTCCTCAGGGTTGGTAAGGGATAATTAATGTCCAGAAAGTACCCCCAGTACCCCGAATTTAAAGGACCTGCCAACAGCTTGAGCCCTTGGAGGCCCTAAGCCCACCCCACCCTACCCTCCTTCTGCCCTTTCTTCTTGTGAAAGAGGAAGTGAGACTAACTCTACCACTTCGGAAAGTACAGAGGAGCCACCAGCATGCCATTCTCTAGCAAAGGCTCAGAGATCCCCAAGCCCAGCTGTACCCCAAAGCCTGAACTCAGCACGGCTTCTTCAGGTCAGAGCAAGGCAGCATGGGAGCTGATCTGAAGTCTACCCAGCAGGTGAGCCACAGGTGCCAAGCCCCAGGTGGGTGGGCGCCCCAGCAGGCCTTAGGCACAGTGACAGGCGCCCCTGCGCTCACAGAATGAGGCTGCCCAGGGTGGCAAGCCTGGCCCCTGGCCCGTCTCCAAGGCTTAGAACCTCCCTCAACGCAGCTGCTCCAGAGACCAGGTTGCTTGGCTCTGAGAACACAGGTTGGTGACTTCACCTGCAGCTTTTTGGACTTTTCCTTTGGCAGCACTTTGTGCTGCCAGCAACCTTTAGCAACTTCTTCCCCTTCCTCCCCCAACCAAGATAACTCACAGGGCCAGCCCCTCCAAACAGCGATCATGTGAAGCCTCGGCGATCATGTGACGCTCCCAGGCTGGCGGTTCTGCCTGAGACACTGGTAGTCATTCAATCCAAAGCTGCCTTCCTAAGCCTGACATTTCAGTTTCTCACTCGAACAAATCCATTTTCTTAGAAAATTGGACAACTGCCTCCTTCTACCTTCCTACCCTTCTGCCTTGCCTCTCATCTGCTTTGTCATAAATTCCATGCCTAGAACAACCGAGGGAGGGGCTGAAGCCTCCTCCTTGGGCCAAACCAGGTGAAGCCCATGCCAGGGCCCCGAGTACCACCAGGACCCTGCAGCACTCAGTCTCGGAAGCTGGGAGGCTTGAGATACTGCGGGGACACCCATCTCCTCCCCATTACCCTCAACCAAGAGATTTATTCTTACCTCTGAAGATTTATTTATCTCAAAGTTAATCTTGGCCCCTCTGCTGCTCCCACTTTTTCAGGCTATTGATGCTGAATGGATTGGAACGGAAGTTTTATGATCTAATCTTTAGCATTTTATAGATTGTTTTTATAAGGCAAGAGGGGGAGATTTGCTCTCTAGAAGGGTGCTGGCGTGCCTAGCCAGCGCCCCAGGAAAGGCAGGTTGCCCATCTGGACACTTGTTAATAAGCTTGACTGCTCATTTGCTAGGACTGAAACACAGGGTCTAGGTTGGAGAAAGGTCTGGAATCCACATTTAGAAATTAATTCGGGCCCAGTCCTCTGCTTTAGGGAAATTAAGCACTTGTGAGAGACGGGTGTGCGTTTGCAGGCCAGGAAGGACAAGCAGGGCAGGAACTTGGACTTTTGCGGGGTATAAATAGGAAGCTCAGGCAGAAAGCAGATCTGAGATGCCACTCACCAGAGATGTAAAATATACCAGAGCTTTCTTCTGCCAGCAAGGCCCCAACTGTAACAGAAAGACCCCGGGTGGGGTGGGGAGATGCCTACTGGATTGAGGGGTTCAGGGGAAACTGTGGGGCAGAGGAGCTGCTGCCCACCCCCACTTCTCCCCCCTCCCAATTTGCTAGTTCGCCTTTTCTAGCTGCTATCAAATGGTTACCAGTCTCTAGGCAAATGGGGGGGGGGGTTGGGGGGGAGAAAAAGAGCTCATCTCTACCTCCCTCCTCAAGGAGGGAGGTGTAACAACCCCTCTGCTGACAACACAGCTTCAAGTTGCCACAAACAAGCTCCCCATTCTTCAACCCCACCCCAGCCCTTTTAATGCTGGTTCTCCTCCTCCCAAACCCTCTCAAGAGACCCAGGTTTTGCAAAACCCCTTTAAGAAGCAGGACTCCTGAATGGTGACCTCACCCCTTGGCGAACACACGGAACCCCACAGAGACAGCCTGCTGGAGACACTCAGGTGTTTGATGTAGGCCAACAAAAAGACATGTTCAGAGCCACAGGTAACAGTCCCTCGGAACACCTGAACTGCAGGGAGCAGCCTCCAAGGCTGGGGAAGGCTGGCTGGAAGGGGGGAGGGGGTGGGAGCCAGAAGAGCAGCAAGGACCATCCTGGACGGTGCTTTGGCAACCAGAGGGAACACCGCAGGGACAATCCATGGTGTTTTCACATCGGGATCTGTTGATTCCAGCAGCTCACCCCAAGGGTTACCAGGCTCGCTTCCCCTCTCTGTCCTCCCTACACACACTAACACTGTTGGACTGTACACACCAGAGGGAGAGCTCACTCTTCCCTAATTGCAACAGCCTGCTTCTGTTCCAGCGCAGGCAGTACCCAGAGGGCCTCTGCCCCCACCGCCTTCCCTCCCACCCTGAAGTCATGCCTGTGGAAAGCTTAAGTCCAGAAACAGAGCATCCTGAGCAGCCCAGCGCCCCTGACTTTGTAAGCCTGCCTGGCCATCAGACTGGGCAAGGGCTGGGGGAAGTAACTCATCTCCATAGGTCCCAGTGCCCCGCACAGTGACTTCGAATCGGCTAGGGCTAACTAGCTTTGGCTGTGTGACCTTGGGCAAGTCACTAGCCATCTCTGGGCCTCAGTTTACACATCCGTAACCCGGCTTCCAGACACCGCTCCCCCTATTTCTGCTCGCAACAGCTGAGAGGCTACCCGAGGCAGTCTGCGAGGCCTGAGCCCGCAGTTTGGGCGCCGCGGCGGCGGCGGCTGGGGCAGTGCTTACCTGTCCAGGCGCAGGACGCAGCGAGCAGCAGACAGAGCAGTGGCCCGAGGCGGCCGGGGGCCGGGCCGGCGGGCTCCATGGGCCGCGGCTGCGGAGCAAGGAGCGAGAGCGGCCGTGAGTGCGCGCTCGGGCGGGCGGGCGCAGGCTGGAGCGGGGAAATGACTAAGACTCCCCCTCCTCCCCCCCCTCCCGGCCGGGCTTCCCCCCCACCCCCCGAACCCGCGCCTAGGAGCCGCCTTCACCGCGGCGATTTTCGGAGAAACCCTCTCCCCCTCCCCCCGCTCCGAGATCGAGAGACGGAGAGGGGGAGAGACCCCAAGCGCGCGAGAAATAAAGCCAGCGACGGCCAGAGAGAGGCGGCAGGAGAGAGAAACAGACCCAAGGGAGCCAGGCAGAGAGCCAGAGACACAGAGAGGCGAGAGGGGGAGAAGGGAGCGAGGGAGGGAAAGAGAAAGGAGTGCGCGAGGCGGCGCGCAGACCCAGACAGGCGAGCGGCGAGGCGAGCGCCGCGAGGGCAGGGGCGAGGGGCCGCGC